AAAAAAAAAAAAATCCAGACAACATTATGTCTTACCTTGTCAAGTTTATCATTGTAGGATGTTGCTTTTAGCTTCTTCCAACAGTTAACATGAAATTCAATTTTGCAGATCTGGCTACAGAAGATTCGTATAAAGCCCTGGGGTTTCAAAATATTTTAAATGCACACTGTGAAGATGTTTACATACACACACACACACACACACACACACACACACACCCCACACATATTAACATGAAGAGGGCGCACTGTTTGCATTCACCTTCAGCATAACTAGAGACTTATTATCTCCTCCTGGAGGAGTGAGTACACTTCTGGGACCCAGAGCGTCTACATTCTAGTGGCAAGGACACCAAGCTTGACTGACATATTCATCTCCCCAGCTAGCAATTGCATTATTCTTTACAATGTACCAAATATTTTGTAAACATGGTTTCATCTGCTGTATATACAAAGGATAGTGGGATAGTGGGCAGGTACTATCTTCTTGAGTAAGGTCATTATTCTTTAGATGATGCAAGCCTAGAGGAGTCCAGGGAAAGAAGTAACCATGATGAAAGAAAGATGCTTGTAAGCCAGATAATTGGGACCTCCAACTACAGCATTCATTCTGACTCCATTATAGGACATGATCTTTCAATTTCCTGTCCCAACAGATATTCATCAGTTACCTTAAAGTCTGGATCAGTTATATATATCTGGATTTTGAGAGATCCACAGTTATTGTGGTATGAACAAATACCCTCTGGCTCTGGAGGGAACTTGCACTCTTCAATGAATCTTTCTAAAAGCACCTGAAACAAAAATTGACAAAAATGATATTATTATAATATTAATGAGTTAATAAAAGTGCTTGTGATTTCAAAAACTTCTTGCCATCAAACTATTTTCAGCATAGGAATACTCAATTTTTTTTTTTTAACCAAGGGAAACTACAGATTATTTGTAAAAATAGAATCCAATATGAGCATGAGTGTAAAAAGTGGTAGGAGAAAAGGAAGCAATTAGACAAAACTTCTTTCTAAGATTTTAAGATAGAATCAAAATCTTGCCCTGAGCTAAAGTCATGAAACTTCATTTGATAATTTACAGCTTTTAGAAACCTCCTGTAAGGATTTATTAAAAAGGTGAAATAAGTTACAGTATGTATCCCTGAGGACAGCCCTGAAGACTCTTATGTTCTCATATTTCCATGTCATTTCACCTAGAACCCTAAACTGTCCCATTCATCTGTCCATTAATCAGCCTCCTTGAATCCCTGCCACCTGTGCTTAGAAAATTAACCTGCTGCTATTCAAGTCTCTTCATGTTATGCTTCCAATGCTGGCTTTTTGTTATCAATAGCTCCCTATGTGATGCCGCAGGATAATGCTCTGGACCACAACATCATGTTGAACTATAAGGTCAGTGGTTCAAACCCACCAGCCGCTCCTTGAAAACTCTATACAGGGTCACTATGAGTCAGAACCAACTCAATGGCACTTAACAACAACAACAATAAACCTTCATCTTAGGAGTGCTGGTAGTTTAGTGGATTATGAGCTGGGCTGCTAACCGCAAAGACAGTAATTCTAATCTACCAGTCACCCCTCAGGAGAAAGATGAGGCTTTCTGCTCCCATAAAGATTTCCATACTGCCTAGGAAATCCTACAATTGCTATGAGTGGAAACCAGCCCCACGGTAAACAACCACTGTCACCGCTACCATGGCTTCATCTAAGGAACCCTGGTGGCTTAGTGGGTTATGCATTGAGCTGCTAACGCTAAGATCAGCAGTTCAAATCCACCAGCTGCTCTGTTTGAAAAAGATGAAGTTTTCTGCTCCTGTGAAGATCTACAGCCTCGGAAACCCTATAAACGTCACTCTGAGTTAGAATTCACTTGATGGCACACAATCACCAACCACCACCATGCCTCCATCTCAACCTAGCATGAAAAGAGGAAAATCCAAAGATCCTGATTTATACTTCCTTGATCTATGCAGACCTGTTGCCCCTTTTTAAATCGGATTACTTGTGGGGGTATTTTCTTGTTGGTACTGTTTTGGGTTTTTTCTAATTGACCTCTGTGCTTTTAAAAGCTTCAATCCAAAGCAAATTCTGAGTACGGGCCACAGATCACCACTAAGAAACGTCTATAACCGGCAATTCACATATAATGTATTTTCTCCAGAACTAGCAAAGCCTCTCAGATATGAGATTACATTAGTATTTTCCAGGTTTATGAGTATCATTTTCAATAACTTAGCAAACAGGGATGCCATATCTGTCTCTGAGTACAAGCAATACAGCATAATGCATAATAATGCATGCTCTGAAGTCCGAACGTCTAGATTCATGTCTCAGCTCCACCACTTCCTAGCTGTTTAAGCTGAGCACCTCGATTCACCTTTCTCAACTCCATCTTCCTCAATTGTAAAATGGAAACAGTAACACCACCCCTCTCACAGAACTGTTCTAAGGATTAAATGTAATGATCAATGAAAAGCATATTCCAGCATATAAGAAACATTAAATAAATGTTAGTGATTTTCATTAGTCTTCAGTAGAGGAAATGTATGTTGAGGAACTAGGGTTAGAGGACTCCTGCTTCTTGATCTTCTGATACCTAAAGTAATGCAGATGGGCTTTTACACCTAGTAAGAAACACTGCAGACATAAACAGTTACCCTTATTTTTGTTGGCTGGGACTCTTCAATAATCACATTACTTGTAGGCCAAGTTAACACTCCAGGAAGATGACGAATTACATTTCTTGCTGTCTGTAAGTGTTTAAGAGCTTCTGAACATCTAAAGTGATAATTATGAAGAAAAGTATTACCAATGTGATCAGCAAAAAAATCAGAGTGACTACATGCTTACAAGTAAGAACAAACTTGATAAATTCTGAGACAGAAGTATTTATAGTAACACATATTTTCTTCAAAAGAAAAACAAAACTAAAGGCATTATTTCTATTTGTTATAAAATATAAATTAAACACAACTCTGCCCTGGACACTGATTCCACTCTGCCCAATGTACACTGTGGCCCTTCTGAAGTTGTATTTTTAGAAATCTGAACTAAAATAGAAAACTAAACAATCTGGCTGTTTCCTTCATTTTATATCGGGGGGGGCTTCAAAAAGTTCATGGAAAAATGGAATGAAAAGATAATGGACTTTTTCACCAAAATTTTTGAAGCTCTTTGCACTAAGCCAATTTAAGTAGGCTCTTGTATAGAAATGGCAGCCCTCCACGTCAACACATTAATTATAAATGGGAAACTTTTTTTCTTTTTTTTTTTGCACTAAATCTATTAGGGAATCTGCTGAAAGAAAAGAAAAAAAACCCTCTCCACTTAAAAATATTTAAAAGAATCATCTATTATTCTGAACACCTTTGTTCAACCACAAAGCAAAATTGTTTTTTAACTATCAGTATGAAATATTTTAATTGACTTGATTCATGGCTTTAAAAAAAAAAATGCCATGTTGACTGTCCAAACCATAGGCTCTGAGAATCAGACTCTAGCTACCTAGTAGACATAGCAAACTGTCCCTCATCTGATTATTCAGTAATGCTTGTTAGTAATCTCATACATGAGGCCTGGATATCCACAGACAAATGTAAAAACCTTCCCTAAAAGCCAAGACTGTAAATTCCAAAAAGGCAAGTCCCCCCCCCATCCAAAAAAAAAAAAAAGCTAAAGAGGATAAAAGAAACACTGTAAACTGATGATATATGGAGGGGATAATAATCAATGTAATGAAACAAGCTATATGAATGGTTGAATGTGAAGCTGATGATGTGCCCTGTAAACTTTCACTCAATGCAAAATAAAAACATTTAATTAAAAAAAAAAAACCAAAAAACCCAGTGTCCCAGTGTCACGCAACAAAAGAATATTCAAAACTGGATTATAAAGCTGACCACGTATTTGTTGTTCTCCAGACTAGAGAAGAAAGAAGAGTTCCTGCTTTTTTTCTATCTTAAAATGACTTCCCAACTTCAAAATCTATTTTTGCCTATGGGGACAGGAAGATTTATTGGCAGAAAGCGAAACCACCACTTAGGAGAGACAAGGACTTTTAATTAGAAACTTAATTAAATTAAAACCTCTACAACAATGGTAAAAAAAACAACAAAACAAAACAGGATATTAGCCAAATGCATTTTCAGAAATTTCAATGTAAAACCTTTTTGACACAGCAAACATTTCTTGGATGATCAAAATCCCCATGATTCCCACCTTTAAAGTGACCATGTCACACATCTATGCTACTTACCTTAGGGTTATCTGCATAGGATTGCTGCATTAAACTTTCATCAAAGAAGTATGTCCTAGGCAACTTACCTTAAACCATGAATTTGCTATTATTAAAGTGATTCCTAAACTCTCTTTCCCTGAGTCTACCTAATCCTTAATGTAATTCAGCATGGCCAGACAGCTTTTTTAAAAAAAAAAAACAAAAAAAAAAACCCAATACTTAAATCTAAAAATCTATAAAGGAGATGCTAAGAACCCCAAGATTGGGTTCTCAAGAGTACCAAAGTGGTCTTTTCTAAAATTCCCCTTAAAATGTTAGATGGAAATTTAAGAGTACTTAAAAGTTTTGAACAATATTTAATCAGTTATTTCTTTATAAAGAAACCTAATATACCTACTAAGTTCACTGCCAGGAACTGGGAGATTTTTTTCTTTACAAATTCAAGACGTAATCCTGTCCACTAGGATAATACAGCCAATTTGGGGAGACAAGATTAACGACATGAAACAGAAAACAGCTAATATATATTAAACTTTCATTACAGATTCCAACTATAATAAAATTCAGAGATGAGATTTTTACACCTAATGCATAATGTCTTTGAACATATTTATTGTTGTTGTTAACTGCTGTCAAGTTGATCCCAAATTATGATGACCACATGCACAACAGATGCACCAATGTGACCAAGTGTGCTCTTGGTTGATTTTCAGAAGTAGATTGCCAAGTCTTTCTTCCCAGTCTAGGCTGCCTTGGTCTGGAAGCTCTGCTGAAATCCATTCAGCATCAGTGTAACACGCAAGGCTCCACTGACTGATGGTTGGTCACTGAACGTTAGGTGCACTGGCTAGGAATCGAACTTACAGTATCTCTTATTAAAATCTTTTTCAACTTCTTAGGTATTACCAAACACCTTAAGGATATGTGTCGCTGGGCCTACAGACTCAGGACCATAGTCTTGGGGGACACCATGATTAAATAGTATAGTAAAGTCCACAAACACAATGTTCTACACATCCTACTTTGGTACATAGTAACTGGGATCTTAAAAGCTCATAAGCAGCTGTCTAAGGTGAAATTATCAGTCTCTCCCTGTCTGGAGGCAAGAAGATAATGAAAATAAAATATGCTTGAAAACAATTAGTCCAATGAACTAATGGGCCACATAAATATCAGTCCCCATGGCCCTGAGACCAGAACTAGATGGTTCCCCACTACAACTACCAACTGCTCTGAAAAAGATACATTAGAAGGTGCTACATAGAATGGTAGCGTAGTGGTTATGAATTGGGCTGCGAACCTTAAGGTCAGCGGTTCGAAACTACCAGCCGCTCCGCGGGAGAAAGATAAGGCTTTCTACTCCCGTAAAGATTTACACCCTCGGAAACCCTGTACAGGGTCGCTATGGGTCGGAACCGACTCGATGGCACTTAACAACAATAACAACAACAACATAGAATGGGAGAAAAATGTGGAACAAAACTCAAAATCATAAAAAAAGATTAAGTTTACCAGTTAGTTAGAGACTTGTGGAACCCCGAGACTATGGTCCTAGGTCACCATTCAAATCTGGAACTGAACTCACCCCCCGAGGCTCAATTTTCAGGTAAGTGACAGGTATATAAGGGGGACAACAACACTAGTGAGAGATGTATCCATTAGAGATCGAAAGGGCAGCATTTACCCAAGAACAAAGGGTTGGGGAAACGGGAGGGATGGAAACAAGAAACACAGGGAGGTAGTAGAATAAGTGAGGCTACACGGAGGGGACTGCAATCAGTGAGATGAAATGAAGTGTATGCTTCATTAAACGTGAAACTGCTGATCACAATGTTAAAAAAAAAAATTCATACAGCACTTTTCTGGAAATAGATATTTAACTAAAAAAAAGTATATAACCAGATGTTAAAGTATTATTTTATATCAATTCTGTCACTATATATAGATGGCATATATTAAAAATAAAATAGTACATCCTTCATGTCAAGCTATTTTTGTATTTACATTCTTATTAGTTTGGACATTAGGAAGCACCAGGAACTGAACTGATTTGCCTTCCTTTAATAATTAATATTGGTATTGACATGCCCCATCTTCAAAGTAAAGCTACAATTTTAAGTGGGTCACAGAGAGCATATCAAAACAATTGCAGAAAAGGAATCATCGCAATTGTGAGTAACTGTTAGCAGGATTAACTGTGATTGTCACAACTGAAATTGTAGAAGATGTATAACTAAAAGGGGGGAGTAGTTAACCTTTCATTTGAGGAACAGGTGATCCCAGGACCATCAAGAAGGAAGAGCATGAATGGAGCATGAGATCCCTATTGAGAAAAGTGACGACAGCGGACGGAAACAGCGGCAGGGCAGTGGCCTGGAAATACAGAGCAGCTGCAGGCTCTAGGCCCATGGACTGAGGAAGGCTGTGCCTAAAGGCAGAAGATTGGCTTGCAGAATATGCTCTCTAAACGTTTAAATGAATATATACTTTTTGTTTTGTAAATGTACAAATATTTTTGATTTGTTCATTTGTCAAATATAAATGTAAATCGGGAGCCCCAGGAAAGAAGTAGGGTAACTGTTGTTGCATAGAGGGGATTGTAATCATCGAAACAAAGAAGAAACACAGCATATAATTTGTTGAATGTAAAGCTGATGATCTTGTCTGTAAACTTTCACTCAATTCACAATAAAAAGTTTAAAAAGAAAAGGAATCATCACATATTAGAGTTCAAATTAATTATGAGCCCAGGTCTGAAGATAGTATGGTTGCTATTAACCTGTATTGTTTTTGTTTGTTTCCCAAATACTTGCTTTCCAATTCCCCAGTAGGCCAAACAGTTAATTCCCTCATTAGGATACAATGTAAGAATCTGCCTGAACTGGCTTTCAACTTCAAATAATTCCTTCAATAGTAATGAGAACAATGATAATCTACCCAAAAAGAGAAGAAGCTCTGGGGCAGATTTTATCCAAAAGTTAATTTGTGTTTGTGTGTGTGTAATATTAACAGTAACTAATCCCAAAATTCCTATGGTAAAATTATACCTTCTGCTTTTCAGTTTCTAAGCAATGGCATAAATTTTGATTTATATGGATATTAAGTGGTACAAACACACAACTCTGCTCAAGAATTAAAAGTGGGAGCAAACCACATCAGGCAAGCAAGTCACAGAGGACACAGTTACTAACACACACGGAGAGGCTGGTGTGCAAACAGTGAAACCTGTCCTAGCTGCCAGTGAGTCGATTCCAACTGATGGAACCCCATGCCTGCCGAAACAGAACTGTGTTCTACAGGGTTTTCAATGTCTGATTTTTCAGAAGTGGCTCACCAAGTCTTTCTTCCAAGGTGTGGGCTGTAACTGCCAACCATTCTGTTAGCTGTCAAGCATTTGAATCCCTTGCTCCACCCAGGAACTCCTGACTAACACTTGTTGTTAGCTGCCATCCAACTGGCCCAACTCACAGCAACCCAGTATACAACAGGATCAGACTGTTGTGACTCATAGGGTTTCCAATGCCTGGTTTCTTCTAAATGGATTGCCAGGCCTTTCTCCTAATCTCTCTTAGACAGGAAGCTTTGCTGGAATCTATTCATCATCATAGCAACATGCAAGCCTCCACTGACAAACGGATGAAGGCTGTGATTGAAATGCTCTGGACAGGAATTGAACCTAGCTTTCTGTCTCAGAAAGCAAGAATTCTACCACAGCAATAAAAACTGTACAAAACACTAACTGTGATACAACCATAACATATAATAAATGCTGCTCCTTGAAAGGTCAGACATTATTCCAGTTATGTTGCCAAAATGTTTTGGAAGTAACTCTAAAAAAACAGCTCTTTAGAAAAACTTTTACAAAGCTTAGGGTACATTTCTTTTGAATATTCCCAAAACTGGGAAACCTCGGGGCTTTCTAGTGCCTTATTTAATTTCTCTTCTAACCATAGTCTGTAAAGTCCCACCCAATGACTTTGTCCTGATGGGTCTGGTTAAGAGAAGGTGGGGGAAGATGCTGATGGATTATGATTCAGTTGTGAGTGATTGCTAACAGGACTGTGACTGTAAAAACTTAGAACTCTAATATGGGCATAAAAAATGAGCCACCTCAGAAGTAGGAAAGAGGGGTTTCACTACCAACAAGGAAAAGCCAGGAATGGAGTGCATCCTTTGGGCTCTGAGAACCCTGTGCATTAAACTTCCTCGACCCAGAAAGAGAATGCTGTGATAGCAAAGAAGCGGCAGAGGAGCATCAGTAGTAGAACCAAGAGTCAGAGCACAAGATGGAACCCGCCAAACAAGTAAAGTTGAATGACTTTGGCAGAAGGCTTGCTTGCAACTCCAGGCATTTAACTGGGGGAGGTAGATTTGCTGACTTACCGAGCTAGAGCTGAGTGCCTTCAGGCTGAGGCTTATAGTGGACTGGAGTACCCTTTGGACATTTCTCAGCAGCCCTCTCAGAGCTTTGTACCATCACCCAAGCACAGCAGAGGCCAGGCCAAGGGCTGAGGACCAGAGAGAGGCCTACGTGTAGGCATGGCTGAGTAGAGGCTGTCCTGGCTGGAAGAATTGTGCCCTGAACATTTACGACCCTGAATCCTAACCTGTTAACTTCCTAAATAAAACCTGTAACTGTGAGTATGTGTCTGATCTTCTGTGTGGCCACTGCAATGAATTATTGAACCCAGATGAGAAGTAGAAAAGTAGAGAGTGCTATAGGAGGGATTGGATGGTTTGGTGTCTATTTTTTTTTCTCCAAAGGCGGTGGGCATGAGATAGGGAAGTCCAAAAGACTCTTAGTTTTCAACAACACTGATAACCCTGCCCTGAGTCAAATGGGACAATTCCCATTTGAAAACACTAAAAGTAGCTTTGACACATTTCCCTTTGGAGAAGTTTCAAAGAAGTTTCAAAGGAGGCATTCTAATGACCTGAGCAAGGGCTATATTGGAGTAAATGATGGTTACTTTCATGGCCTGGTGTCTGGTGTGGCGCTGTAGGATAAGCACTGGACTGCAAGGACAATCAAAACCACAACGAAGGCAGTTCAAACTCACCAGTCACTCCTCGGAAACACTATACAGGGTCGCTATGAGTTGGGACCGACTTGACGGCACTGTAACAACTACCTTTAAGGCCTACACTAAATGGCAAAATTAATTTGAATGTACAAGGAGACTTCAAAAACTTCATGGAAAAATAGAATTAAAAGAGAATTTTCCATGAACTTTCTGAAGGTCCCTCATATAAGTTCTACCATGCCTGCTTGCTTGTTTGTTAAACCAGGCTCACTATGTTACAGTGAAGCACAAATGTAAAACAGAGTTCAATCCTGATGAGGCAAAATGTGATTAACATATGCATTTCTATTCTGTCAAGAATAGGAGAATTAACATCCGGAGGCCCTGTTCCAAATGATCTATAATAAGGAAATGAAACTGGACAATCATTATGGATAGACAATTCATCTGTCACATCAAGCACAAGGAAAGAAGCACAGCACAGGCACAAACTCAGGCACTGTGGGATACTAGGAAAAGGGGAAGCCCAAAGAAGTCTCAGATCCTAATTCTGTAGCAATTTAGGGTTAAATCCTCATTTAGCCAGGGACAACTGAAGCTTTAGTTGGTAGAAAGGATATATATACCTGAGTCATCCAGAAAACACTCTCATTCCAGAGCCATCGCAGCATTTAGAGAAAACTCAAAACCAAGAAAATAAACTGATACAGAAAGTGCAGGTAAGTGAACATTCCAGGAAGAGTAAGGCAAGAGCGTGAGTAATGGAAGCTGTGTGTGCCCACATCAATACACTGATTGGCTGAGCCTATGAAAAACCTGCACTCCAGAAATACAGCACACAAGTCCTCACCATCCAGAACTAGTAGATGTTAACATTAATTTTTGCCCTCGTTTTTAAAAAATAAAACAGCATATCACAAAGTTTAAGTCTACTTTTTTATCTTTCCATGACTATTTCCCTTCCTCCACCCCTAAATGCAACCATGATCTTACATTTGATGTAGTTCTACTAGTCCATGTTTTTATACTTTCATAAGCTGGAGAGAGAAGCTATCCACGAACAGATAGTATGGTTCTGCAGGCTTTTCATATCATACATACATGGTACAATGTTGGTTATGTCCTTCTACTTCCCTTTTCCCTCAACAGTACATTTATGGAATTTATCATGATTCCTTATAGCTTTTCTATACAAATAGAGTTCTACAGACTTTTTCTTTCTAATAGGAATACAAACTAAATTGATCTTATTTGTCTTCTTGTTAAGTGCTGTCGAATCGATTCTGACTCACAGTGATCCTGTATAGGGTTTTCGAGGAACAGCTTGTGAGTTTGAACCACTGACTTTGCAGTTCAAACCAACGTTGAGGTCAAGTGCTTATCCTATGATACCACACAAATTAGAAAATTACTTTTATATATGTTCTAATTATAATGTCATTTTAATTACTACCTCTGTTACAAATCTTACCTCAGGCTTTCCTAATCCAGTGAGAGAGAGGCCAAGCCCATAGACTACTAGGACATAGTTGATCATTCAATTGCTGCCAACAGAAATGGTCCAGTGAAGTCTCTACACAATTCTGCCTAATTCTACACTATACCAATTTTCTAGTCCACAACCATAAAAGAAGTGTAATAAAAATCTCACTTAGCAATATGATTGGCTTAAAGGACAAAGAGAATTAGAAAAATATTATTTTGTGAAGATATGCAGTTATATCATAATCAAGTACTTCAAACAATTATTACCTCATAATTCCTTGTGGAATTATGGTTCATATTTTAATTTACAAAATCATAATTTATATGTTAAGTAGGTACTAGTGACAGTTTAAGGCATTTGCTCTCCTACAACCTTGTGTATTTATTAACAGAGTGAATACTTCTTTCTGATATTAGCGTGTGACTAAAATCCGTCCATGCCCTTGATTTAGAGCTTTAATGAAAAGGCCATGAGTGCTAAAAAGCATACACTGTAATAGAAGGAAAGAGCAGAAACAAAACATGGATCACAGAGTATAACCATAACGTCTGAAATTTTAGCAGTGCCTGCTTCTTACAACGTGGGTTAGATCCAGCAAGTTCTGAGGCCTATTAATAATGGAGGTAAAGACTTGATTCTCTTTTACACTCATATAAGATGCATTACTGCTGATAGGCAAGTTACGATGCATCAGTTTTACCTTTATTGTTTGAGGATCTAAGCCATTTAGCAAGTGTGTAAAGGCCTGTACAGCACAGTGACACTGCTGGTCCAACAAGGCTGTGTAACCATCTCCAATGAGGCCTCTCAACATTTCCATTAAAGAAACCAAATCCTGTAAAAAGGAAATTTCTATTTCAGTAGTCTGGATCTACATATCTATAGTCTAAAACTTAAAAGATGCCAAAGTGCATCACAAAGCATTTATATTTAGGTGATAATAATCTGTGTAATACCTGAACTACCTACCCTTTAATGATTTCCTTTCTCAGTACAACATCCTACAGTGAAAATGACAAGGTACCACTTTACCATCTTGATTCTGATGCCTCTGCTTTGCCTGTGACAAGAAAAGGTGGTGCCTTCTATATAACATGGTGCATATATAATAAGCCTTGTTCACCCTTTCAGACTAAGCAGACAACAACATGAAGTTTTGACAGCACACGAGAACACAGGCCACCATTTAAACTAGTAAACTATTTGAGACTAGTCCAACTAGATACTTCAGAATAAGCAACCGATTTACTGATCCTAATCAGATTTTAACAACTGCCATCTGCTCTAGAATATGCCTTAATTTTAAATAGTTGCTTCAATCTTTAGCTCTACTCCTGCCTAACACATAATTAATAATGGTGGTGGTATGCTACCAATTCGGTACCAATTCATTAGCAACCCTGTATAGGGTTTCCAAGGCTGCAAATCTTTACGGAAGCAGGAAACCTCATCCTTCTCCAGAGGAGCAACTGGTAGATTCAAACAACTGACCTTGTGGTTAGCAGCCCAGCTTGTAATCCACTACATTACCAGGGCTCCTTGTAATTAAATATAATTAAATAAAAAATAACTGGAGAGATGTCAGCAGAGTAAGTATAAAAGGAGCACATGACATAAAAATAAAAGTTGCTGCAGTGAACCCTTAAATATAGTGAGAAAACTGTGTAACTCGAATATAAACTACACACATACATTATAATCTGAATCCAGATTTTAGTTAGACAGTAATAACTTTAAGTCACTTAAGTTTCCTAATGATTAGAGGGAAGACTAGAATTTAAGGCTAGATCTCCAAACTTCTTGCCACACGCACACACCACTGAGTAAAGCAGAAAAAGGAGAAGGTGTATGTGACATCAATAAGGATCCAAAAGGCGATCCCACTGCTCAAAGCTGAGCAGGGGAAATAGCTTGGCTACAAAAGTTGCCTGGTGGTTTCCATTCAAAGAATGCAAACTACTACTCCCAGAAATGAATGAAAAGAGCAGCTCTCATAAAAACTTGGTATCTGTTGTACTATTAAAAAAGCTCAATTATAGTCTATGTTAAGATAAAGATTTGAATATAGAGCAGATGATGAGCTAGTCCCATAACTGATTTAATTTGCATCTCTTTTACATCCTAGAAAGCAGATCCAAATATTCCTTTGTCCCCACTGGAAATCAGTTCCCTCAATACAGTGCAACCTAAGTGGTGTGTATTGAAAGTTCCATGAGAGCAGGCTGGATCCCATCCACTAAACACCCACTTTCTTTTACATTCGCCAGGCTTCAATAAAACTGTATTCGATGAACAAATTAAAGTTCAGCAATAACTATCATTCTTATTCAAATATTTTTTTGTTTTCATACACTGTCTTTTCTGTGTAAGTCCTTCATGGTTTTATTAATATTCATCAACAAATGTTAATAAAAAATAATTTTAAATCTCCAACAGTTTATTGTTGAGTCAATTCTGACTCCTCATGACCCTGACTCATAGTGACCCCATGTGAAAAGACTAGGACTGCCCCATAGGGTTTCCTAGACTGTAATCTTTGTGGAAACAGATTACCATGACTTTCCTCCTGTGGAGTTGCTGGGTGGCTTTGAACCTCCAACCTTTCAGCTAGCTAGGTGCTGAATGTTTAAACCACTGTGCCAAACAGGGCTCCTTTGCCTTTATACAATTGAGTTTTTAAACTTTGTTTTTTAAACTTCTTGAAACATGTTTCATTTTAACAGTCCTTTGTGAAATATTTGTTATAAACCTAAAAATGTACTTGAATTTTACAATGACCTATATATTTTCAAATAAGTATCCTATTCTATGTTAATGTATACTTTTCATCACTTACTAAAGTATCACAGAAAGAACTTTAAACACAAAGTTGTCTGATTACTGTAAAATCTTTCAGAATAAAAAGTATGCAATTTAATGATTTTACAAGTGTGATAAAATTGAATATTTGAATAACTTTTATATATAAATCTTTTTAAAATATTAAATTTAAAATTAGTAGTTCTAAATCTTTTGGAAGCAAATAATTTTGCAATGTTAACCATTAATTTAACTTCTGACTAAAGTAATTATCAAGTAAATATTTAAATTAGTGATAGTTTGGCTTTTTAATAATTATATATTAAATATGTCTATAATTAAAATTGTAAAAAATCTTAGCTATGTCTTGATTAGAAATTAATTCATGTGGGAAAAATGTTTTGTTCAAAAAGTCTGCCTTTTCCACTGGAAAATGCCTTTTCCATTACCTGATGAGCAGCTCTGGCAGATTTAGAAAACTGTTTCTCCAAGATGCGTTTCAAATCTATGGTCACTTGTGAACTAGAATTAAAAAAGAAAAGCGTTCGTTTTGAATTCATTTGAAAACAAAACAGACTTATAGAAATAAAACAAAAATATTTGCTAAAGGTCATTTTAAATACTGGATGAATGGGAAGCTATACAAGTTTTTGAACAGAAATCTCCTCCCTGAAAATAATCGCCAAGTCAATGCAATCTCAATAAAAATACCTATACAATTAAGGGTGATGGGGGGCCAGATAGGTGGATTCTGAAGGCAACATTTAAAAAAAGAAAAATGAGGAGTGATTTATGCTAACCATAAAATGTTGCTGTAAGTCTATAGTCATTAATAACAATACAGTTGTGAAGCAAGAAATGTGTCTGATTAGCCTGGAAAATATGCTCCATCTCACAAAGAACAGTGTCAGATATAACCATTTAACCTACCATTAAATGTCTGATTCAAATGACTGTGAGGACAAGAAAGACAGAAGCCCTCTTATAGTTTAGTATGAGTGTGAATAGTGAGTGAGACAGCTCTGGGAACACCACTTGGCAGCACATTCCCTTTGACACAGCAATTCACACCAGAAATTTCTTCTTCAAATATACACTGACAAGTGCACAAACGCACATGTGTAAGGATGTTTGCTGAAGCATTATTTTACTTGTTAAGAAGCAAGGAAAGAGAAAGAGAGGGAAAAAGAAGAGAGGAATAAAGATCCTACATATACAACAAAGGATACTATATCTACAGTAATTAATATTCTGAAGCCATGAAAATGAAGAAAGTAGATCTCTATGGTCTAATATGAGAAGATGCAAGATTTTGTGTAAGAATTAAAGGAAGCCATAGCCTAGAATGGGCCTAACAACAGTGAAAATCATAGTAATAATGACAAATATACTAAGTATTTACTATATCCCAGGGGTCTAAGTGCTTTAGGTGGTTACCTGATTTAACTGTGAAATAACCCCTTGTGGTAGACATTATCAAATAAGGAGTCTTTACTTTGAAAACTTAAAATATACGGAAAATAAACTACCTTCAGCAAAACAAGTTAAAATTAAAATTATACATGCTCCTGTATTGTGTTTTGGTTTCTCTGTTGAGGGAGAAAGATTCAGGATGTTTCTACTAAGTAACAGAAGAAACTAATATAAAATACCCTTACTTTATATTAATTCTGTTTTATGTGTGTGATTTGGGTAAAAGTTACAGTGTAAGTTAGGTTTCCATTCAACAATATTTTGTTTTGTGTCACTGACTGCAATCCCCACAATGTAACAGTACTCGTCTCACTTCTTCGTGTGTTTAGTAACATTTCCATTCATTCTTCTTTCTTACCCCTTCCCTTCTTGTCTTCTGAGGTTTATGAGCTTTACCCCTGTGGTCACATGCTGCCCTGTTGGTATCTTTTGGTTAATTTTTCTAAGGAGCGTGTGCCTTCCTGGTGTTATTGGTCAATTTACAGGCCTATCATTTGCCTGAAAGATGAGCCACAGGAGTGAGTTCCATTGACTAAGGACTATAAGTTTGAGGGTTCTACCATTCTCAGTCAGACCAATAAACCTGCTCTTTTTAATGACTGAGTTTCTTTCCATGGTTTTCTCCCACTCTACCCAGGACCTTCTACTATGGTGATCCCTTTCATAGTGTTTGATACTGGTAGCTGGGCACCCTCTAGTTCTTCTAGTTTCAGAGTTGTGGAGGCTGGAGTTCATGGGGTCCGTAAGTCCTTTGGACTAATATAGTTTTCCTTGCATGTTTGATTTTCTTCACTCTTCTTTGCTCCAGATGGCTAGAGACCAACAGTTGCACCTTAGATGACTGCTCACAAGCTTTTAAGACCCCAGCTACTACTCAACAAAGTAGGATGTACGACATTGTTCTCATGGGCTATGTTATGCCATTTAACCTTAGTTCTAGTCCCCTGAGACTGTGGTCCTGAGCCCCTAAGCCCAGTGACTTGTCACGTTTGATTACAGCTAAGAATTATTCGTGAGTTTGCTCCTTGTATGCGATCCTACATTCATGGATATATTGGTAGTACATGTAAATACATAGGTAGAAATATCCTGTCAAACTTACATATATATTCATGAGTCTGTATTGATTTCTGTAGCCGCACCAAAAATGGCCATTCAAAAAAAAGAGCTTTTACTCATTTCTTTACCCCACTGCCATCAAGTTGATCCTGACTCAGATTGAGACTATAAATCTTCATAGCCTCATTTCTCTCCTGCAGAATAGCTGGTAGCTTTGAACTACCAACCTTGTGGTTAGCAGTCCAGTGTTTATTCAGAGAGCCTCCAGGACTCCTTTCTAATTTTCTTAGGGCTCATTAATGCTTTGATATGCAAATTATTCTCCTTGAAGCACCCAGTATGTGCTTCAGTCTTAAAAGTGAAGCGACAACTGACAGCTGGTGCAACTGTGGTAAACATGGCTTTGCAGCTTCCCCAACACCACTTTCATCAGCTTCTTTTTTCTTATCCATGTTGTTGCAGCACCAATGAAATCCTTATCTATTTTAAGATTTCCAATTTCACTTTGCAATCCATTTGAATCTTTGTAGGAAGTTGGGGATGAACTATCAAGACAGATGGTAATAGTTCCTACTGTTCAATTAGGGAAGAGGGTATTTGGTTGAACTAATTTTATCAGTGGTATGGTACTGCAGCCTAATGTGCTGGACTGCAAGGTTGGTTTGAACCATAAGGTCGGAGCTTCAAGCTTACCAGATGCTGCTTGAAAAACCTATGCAGGGGCACTATGTGTCAGAACCAACTTGATGGCACTTAAACAACATTAAGAAATACTTTCATCTGGTCATAAATACTAAACAAAGGCCTATGACTAGATATGTATATGCACAGTAAGTTTCCAGACGGCCAAGCAACAATTCACCGTGAATTCCAAGAGGAGGCCACTGGAAGATGGACTGAAATAGAAGTGAAACAAAGTGAGCAGAGAGTGAGGCTAAATTTCCCTCTTACAAACATGTATGTTGGAATTAAAAAACATATATACTGATAAATTTCATGTTATACAACCATGAGAATTCAGTTTAATTTCCAGGATTAATAATCCTTCAGCACACACACACAAAAGGATCCTACTCTAATGGACATGACTTTGGTATCAGAAGACGATTTTAGTGCTCATGGTAATACACATATGTAAAGATGGCCGTTATTTGAAAAAGATGTTTTCTTTTTCTTAGAAGTACATTAGGGAAAGAACCCACACACACAAAAACGTACCTTGTCTTAGTCTCTTCATTTCTGGATCTATGTCTTCCTTTATGTCTTGAAGGCTTACCTGTGAATTCAAAAGTATTTGTTCCTGAAATCTGTACATTAAAAACTACAAATGTGAGAGTAAAATAGTAAAAATAAAAAACAACATAAACTGGAATAAGAAAGTAGAGAAGGCAGTACTGTGTGTAAGTGTTACTATAATTGGGTAGGCCACAAAAGAAACTACTAATGATATTTTCCTATGTATGCTACAAAACGACAACAAAGATATAACAATGATAAAAAACAGACTTGGAGCAGGTACAGAGAAAGAGAGGCCATAGCTCTCTTTAATTACTAAATGGCCTGTTTTTCTCCCACTCTATAGGCCAGATGTGAGAAAAGCAGGCCATTTAGTAATTATCATGAACCATTCAGCAGAAGGAGCTCTAGGAGCATAGAGGTTACAAGTCGGGCTACTAACCTCAAAGTTAGCAGTTTGAAACCACCAGTCGTTCCACGGTAGGCTTTCTGCTCACATAGAGATACACAGCCTTGGACACACACCCTACAGGATGTCTCTAGGAGTCAGAGCTGACTCCACGGCACACCACCACCACCATTAAGCAGAAACAATGTATTGTGCTGTTATTATCTCTCAGCAATTGCTCTGTGAAAATCACAGAAGGGAAAAATAAACTGAAGAGGTTGTGAGAGGCTTTAGTGAAGCTGGCGCACTTGCATTTGGTTTTGAGGAACAAACAAGATTTGGACAGAATGGTGAGAGCTCAAGAGTGAATGAAGAACATTTTAAGAAATAGTAAGTAAACCTGTCTGGTTTGGAGCATTTTTAATAAGGGTGAAAAGTTGGAAAGGGCTGCAAAAGTAGTTTGGACTAAGGGTTTATAAACGCCTTGCTTCAGACCCTGCACATCTGTGATGACATGTTCAGTCCCATCAGAGGAAGCCATTGCCTATTTAAGGGAGTGGCATGGTCAAGGCTGTGTGTGAGACAATACAGAAAGGGTGTATTTGGTGGGTGGCTTGGGAAAGAGAGGGCAGAGGCAAGTGAGAGCCTGCGCCAGGTTTGGTGGGCTTAGAAATCTAAAGGGGCTCCTAGGAAGACAGAAGAGTTTGAATTTGATTTCTGGTTTGTGACGTTGGCTGTCCCACCCACTGTCGTCAAGTTGATTCGGACTCACCGTTACCCTCACAGGGCAGAGTAGAACATAGAACTGCTCCATAGGGTGTCCAAGGCTGTAAATCTTTACAGAAATAGACAGCATCATCGTTCTCCTACAAAGCAACTGATAGGTTCAAACTACTGACCTTTCTGTTAGCAACTCAATGCTTAACTCACTGCAACACAATGGCTCCTTTTGGTCAAAAACTGGTGGTGGTGGTTATGTGCCATGGAGTCAGTTCTGACTCATAGCAACTACAGGGTTTCCGAGGCTGTAAATCTTTATGGGAGCAGAGAACCTCATCTTTCTCTCGTGGAACAGCTGGTAGTTTTGAACTGCTGACCTTGAGGTTCACAGCCTGATTCATAACCAGTACACTACCAGAGGTCAAAAACTACTTAACACTAATGCTAGGACCTCAATTTCTTCACTTGAATGTGAATGTTGAAAGGCAGGCTTCAAACAGTTCAGGAAAAAGATGAAATGTAAATATAATGGAATTTTTCCACAAACTTTTTGAAATCCCCTTGTATCTTGATTTTTCCTTAGCACTATTGCTATCCAAGAATAAAACTTTAAAAAACTTCAATGATTCCAAATCACAGTGACCCTATACAAGACAAAAGTAAAGTGTTCCTTAAAGCTTCCAAGATTGTAAATCTTTATGGGAGCAAACAAACAGCCTAATCTTTTTCCTGCAGAGCAGCTAATAAATGGGTTTGAACCACCAACCTTGAGGTTAGCAGTCCAACACTTAGCCCACTATACCACAAAAGCTCTTGTATCTAACAATTATGACCTAAAATGAATAATAAATCAAAAATTGTTTTCTGAAGAAAAATTTTATTTTCAAAGCTTTCCATGGGCTCTTAGAGTTATATGGAGTAAGATAATCTCCAAGATTTCCTCTCTATGTTAATTTCATGTCTCTCCTCCCCCATAAAAACCCAAACTCATCGAGTTCCTTGATGTTTTGATACACAAATCATTCTCCTTGAAACACTTGTCATGTCATCGACCTTAACAAGTGAAGAGGAAACTGACAACTGGTATAACTGTGGCTTTGTAGCTTCTCCAACACCACTTTCAGGTGGTGGTGTGTGAAACGAGTGGGAAAGCCCATGAGTAAGTCGTTGAATATGTGGAACTGGGGAGCCTGAGAGAACATAGCGCTGTATGTAGCAGCTGAAGAAATGGTTGCTAGAAGCAAAACCACCCAAAAGAAGAGAGAAACACAAACCAACAAATAAGAGAATGGAAAAGAGAGACACAGAGACACTGGCTAGAATCTGTCCTCAGTAACCTTCCAAGGAATACTACATGAAAGCTTGATAGAAATGACTATCTATTGCACATCACTACCACCACCTTGAGTCATGATGAGAATCTGCATCTTTCAAGCTCTGTCTTAAAAGACAGGGAAGCATGTATTCCATCTTAGAAAGATGGCCATCACAATCTGGCGACAGAAAGGGAAATTCAAAACCTAAGTGAAAAGCTTAAATGTTTCCTTCTCAGAGACCATCATTCCCCCAATGAAGGTAAGTAAATGCTCTATGGCCCTGCTGGGTGGCTGGTGCAGATTTACAAGATGCATGATTAGCATAGTTACTATGCTATGTAAGCAAACACAGAAAATGTAAAATCAACTAAAATTACTCAAAAGCATACATTCTCATTGGAGGGGAGACTGCCCCAGAGGGTGAAAACTGGTTCTTGAAAAGAGGGTAAATCCTCCTCTTTTTGTATCCAAAGCACCTGTTCCTAGAGTACACCAACAATATAGTTACCATCGGGTTGCTTCCAACTCATGGCGAGACCATGCATACTGCAGATCTGCTCCATAGGGCTTTTGAGGTTATGGCCTTTTGGAAGCAGTTTGGCAGGCCTGACTTCTGAGGCACCTCTGGGTGGGTTTGAACCACCAACCTCTCAGCTAGCAGTCCAGCTCTTAATGGTCTGAGCCACCCAGAATTTTCTGAATAGCTTATTCATAGTATTAAAATTTCATGGGGATGGGAATAGGGGGTAAGGGTATAAATGAGGAAAATAATGTCTAAAATGTCATCTTAGGAAGGGCCAATAATGAAGGAAAATTGAGAAACATTGTCCAAAAGGAAATTAAGAGAGCAGACCAATAAGAACATGGTTTTTATAGTCTTTCCATTACTTTTATTTACATTTCTAAAATTATATTTATTTAATAACATGAAAAAACTGCACATGAATTTCAAATAAATATTCAGTGTTCCCTTTAACACATAAACATTAAGTAAAACTAGGGCACTGGCAAATATAATTGAGGCTTATACAAGTTTTAGAGCACATAAGTTTAGGGAACGCTACATTAACTTATAGTGAGACCTAAGAAAACAAAACTTACTCAGTGGCAGTTGGTATTCGTAAAACTCATAGTCATCAAGATCAATCACCTTCGAAACTGCAACTGCCCTCTCCGCTCCGTGAGAGTAAAACTAGAGATTAAAAAAAAAAAAAATTATACACAACCATGAAGAATTAATGCTATTGGTAAGTAGAAGGATTTAGAATAAAATATGGTTAAACTTATCCCAACTTGCTAAAATAAGCTGCTTCTTCATAAATAACTAAATAAGCAAAATGATTAGAAGTTCTGGAATTACAAATTCTATTTCTAACCCCTAGCATGATGCCTGGCATGGTGGTTTGTCAAGAAGTGTTTGTACTGAATTAATATTATCATATTTGTACTAAATGAATACAATCACATTTTCCTTATATTCCTCTCCATGAATACAGCTCCTTTGAGATTTTCAAAATTATCACCAAAAGGACTACGTAGGTGTGAAATGAAAACATTTCCTTTTAATGCCCACCATGCATCAACCCCAAACACCATTTTTATTTTTCACCTCAAATGCTAAACATAAATATCAATGTGGACACTGGTGATACCAGGTGAGTTTCAAGTATATTACATCTCAGAGGAAAACCCAGACACCTACCACCTGGGAAACTCCCAACACAGAGCTAGGCTAATGACAGCTGCTCTAAAGAACACATCAGACCAAGGCCTCTGCTGAGCATATAGCGAATCACTTCTATGAAGGGAACCAGTGGCTACAGAAACAACTTGGGCAAAAGAGAGAGGGTGCTGCCAGGGCTGGTGGTTGGGCTGCTACTGTGTGGGGCAGCCAAGTCACTTGCAAAAAGGAAAAGGGAGAAAAACAAATAAATATCCAAAAACTTGCTGAGGCTCAGGCAGCCTTGGCCACAAGACCCCCTCTGGCACTCATTCCAACGTGATTATCTGGCTGGGAGACAGGTTAAGGGGAGGGCACCCAAAAAAGGTCTATCCTTGTGACAGAATGATGTTTAGGAAAAAAATCATTTGAAAACCAATGTAGCTTCAAAAGAAACTGACTCTGAAAACTATCTTTGTGATTATCAGAGGTAGCAGAATTATTTATGTAAAAGAATCATTCTCTATGTCAATAAGTCAGTCAAGAAGGGGTTTGTATGGCGCTGTAGGATGAGCACTAGACTGCTAACCAAAAGGTCTGCGGTTCAAATCCACCGGTTGCTCTCAGAAACCCAATAGAGGGTCACTATGAGTCAGAATCGACTCGACGGCACTTAACAACAACAATTACCTAAATATTTGGGTTCACCAAACTATTACTGTAAAAATGCAAGAATATATGTGAAATAATTTTAATTTTCCATTGCACTTACCTTTTTATTCCTTCTACCACCACTTGCCATTTCATAAACAGTGTATGTGGAGCCTTTTTCAGTATCCACAAAGTGAAGTGAAGTAGTAAATGAAGGTACTGCTAAAGGTATGTAGTCCCTAGGGGATAAGAAAGGACTTTACATTCTATTCCTAATGGTGAATACACACGTTTACAAGTGATCCTTTCAACAAACAGGTTGCAGCAACACACAGCTTTTTTTCCTTGAAAGCAAGATATTGTTGTTTTAAAAAGATTCTCTCTGAGCCTGGGTTTTATACATAAACACTGCTCAAAATTCATTACCAAAATTCAAATTATCAAAATTCAAAATAGGTTAGGAACAATTCCAGAAAAATATTCTGGGTTCGAATAGTCAAATAATTAAATCTCTCCATTCTGTTGTTGTTGCTGCTGTTAGGTGCCACTGAGTTGGTTCCAAGTCGTAGCAACCCTGTGCACAAAAAATGAAACACTTCCTGGTCCCACGCCATCCTCACAATTGTTGTTACGGCTGAGCCCACTGCTGCTGCCACTGTGCCAATCCATCTTGTTGGGGGTCCTGTTGTCCTTTGCCAGGGACTGGTCGCTCCTATAATACGTCCGAAGTATGAGAGTCGAAGTCTGGCCATTCTGTCTTCCAAGGAGCATTCTGGTTGTACTTCTTCCAATACAGTTTATTCTTTCACAGTCCACGGTACTTTCAATATTCTTCTCCAACACCATTAACTCAAATGCATTATTTCTTTTACAATCTTCCTTATTCATTGTCCATCTTTTATATGTATATGCTATTGTTGAGTTGTGCCATTGAGGTTCTGATTCTTAGTAACCCTGTATAGTGGTGGTTCAAGGAGCAGCTGGTGAGTTTGAACTGCTGACCTTGCGGTTCAAACCGACCTTATGGCTAGTGCTTATCCTACAGTGCCACACATGCATATGAGGACACTGAAAATACTATGGCTTGGGTCAGGTGCACCTCAGTCCTCAAACTGACATGTTTGTTCTTGAATACTTTAAAGAGGTCTTCTGCAGCAGATTTGCCTAATGTAATATGTCTTTTGATTTCTTTATTGCTGATTGTAAATTCAAGTAAAATGAAATCTTTGACAACTTTAATCTTTTCTCCATTTATCATGATGCTATTTATTGGTCCAGTTTTGAGGATTTTTGCTTTCTTTACATTAAGGTGCAATCTATACCAAAAGCTATAGCTTTGATCTTCTTCAATACATATTTTTAATTCTCTTCATTTTCAGCAAGGAGGGTTGTATCATATGCATATTAAAGATTATAAATGAGCCTTTCTCTAATCGTGATACCACCGTCTTTGTATAACCCAGATCCTATTAAGTATGATGAAAGGATACAACCCTGATTTTCAGCCATTCAGTATCCCCTTGTTCTATTCAAATGACTGTTGCTTGGTCTATGTACAGGTTCCTCGCGAGCACAATTAAGTGTCCTGGAATACTAATTCTTCATAATGTTATCCACAGCTTGTCATGATTCACACAGGCAAAATTTTTTGCACAGTCAATAAAGCACAAGTAAACAGCTTCCTGTTATTCTTTACTTTAAGGCAACATCTATCTGATGTCAGTAATGATATTCCTAGTTCCACAGCTTCTTTTGAATTTAACTTGATTTTCTGACAGTTCCCTGTTGATGTACTGTTGTTGCAGTTGTGTTTGAATTATCTTCAGCAAAATTTTACTTACATGTGATATTAGTAATGCTCTATGATTTCTGCATTCCATTGGGTAAACTTTCCTTGGAATGGGCACAAATAAGGATCTCTTCCAATATATGTAATAGCTGCAATATGGTACGCATCTAAATGAGCAAGTGGAAAGTTTAATCTATTCTAATTGCCATGTAAGAAATGCAGACCCCCTAAGCACTATTTCCCAGTTGAGCACACTCAAGTCCAAAACCAAACCAAACCAAACCCACTGCCGTCGAGCCAATTCCAAGTCATAGTGACCCCATAGGACAGAGTACAACTGCCCCTTAGGGTTTCCAAGACTAAATCTTTACAGGAGCCAATCTTTCTCCTGAGGAGAGGCTGGTGGGTTTGAACCGCCAACCTTAGAAGTCCAATGCTGAAAAGACTGTGCCTCTAGGATTCCTTTATTCAGCTTAATCTGTTGGCTATAACTAAAAGAAAGTGTCTTAGCCTCTGAAATGGTTATAGGTCACTGATGAAAGGTAAAAGGGCCAGGTTATGCCCCTGTCCTCTGGGGCCAGGACACTTCATGGCCCAAACTGCTCTCAGTCAATAAACATTTCACCAATTTTTCCCCACAGGCTTGGGCTGCTGATCTCTAATGTACAAGGGAGCTTCAAAAAGGTCATGGAAAAATTCCATTATCTTTTAATTCAATTTTTCCACAAACTTTTGGAAGCCTCCTCGTAAACATAGCCTGCCAGTTCACCTACCAAAATTAGTGGAGAAAGTAAACAATTTAGTAAAACACTTGGTAAGATACACCTGACAACTCACAATCACCTGATCTTACAAGTGAACACTTAAAATAAAAAAACCTCTCTTCCTTCCCAACTTTACTGTGGCTATTAGCTACTAAAGTGTCAAACACAAATGATTCTCAAATTCAGGGGGTAAAGCCATTCCAAATTACAACTACTGATCTGATATTACTCACCTGCTACTGTAATAGGCTCTCCTAAACTGACTCCTACCGCATGGCCAACCTATAAAAATCAATCATGGCAATCAGTGGATTGGTATAATAGACTTTAGAAGATTTTTGCATTTCTTGAAAGTTGACAGTGAACACATCAAATGTGGAGAACTGAAAAACAAACCTAAGTTATTTTACATTTCTAGGTGTTTTTTGTTTTAGGATGGTCAACAAGATGTTATGCACACTTTGTATGACACCTTATTCTGTGTTAACTACTGACTAGATGAAAGCAAAACAAGAATTTCAATCGGAGATTGTACTTGTCTCGAAGACACTCACAAACTTGCTATGAGGACATCTCCTAATGAAACAGTGACTCAGCTCTGCTCTAGAAGATACTAAGTACTCAGAATTGAATAAGGAAAATCTGAAGAAGTAGACTACAAGAACTCCAGGTATTGAAAAAAGCAAAATAACTTAGAGAAGCAAAATGAAAATCTTTCATTCTTAGCTTACATATCCAATTTCTGCTATATATATTTGTTTTGTTAAGTGCTGTTGAGTCAGTTCCGACCCACAGCGACCCTGAGTAGGGTTTCCGAGGAGAAGCTGATGAGCTTGAACTGCAAACCTTGCGGATCAAACCGATTTTGCAGTCCAGCGAATTAAGCAACAGCACTACACCAGGACTCCACTATATACAGTTACAGAGTTTAGATACATACTGCAAAAACAAATCAGTTACCTTTGACTGGATTCTAATGCATGTGACCATGTGTTTCAGTGTAAAACTGTCCTCCATAGGGGTTTTATGGTTGTGACCTTTCAGAAGCAGATCACCAAGGCTATTCTTCCAAGACACCTAAGGGTGGAGTCAAACTATCAACCTTTCAACTGGAAGCCAAGTGTTCAACCATTTACCTCACCTAGAAACTCCCATGTGCGTGTGTACGTGTGTGTACTTTATAATGACAGAAACCTGAATAACAACGGAAATTTTAAAATACAGTTTTGTTACAAAAAGCAAAATTTCTGAAATGTATGCTGTTCTACAAAAAATAACAATTGGCTGTCTGTTTCAAATACAAAATACAATGAATCCGTAACTTCCTAGTCAGATACAATACTAATGGAATCCTACAGAGATAGAAATGGAAAACTGAAGTGATCTGACCAAGACAACATGACAAAATAAGTACAAATCATCTGAGAATAGCTTTATGGTCTTCCATTGATCCAAGAAACTCACCTTTAAAATTTTTAAAGGGAATTTGACTATAACCAAAAGAATCTTAGGTGAAATACCTTGTAAGCTGTCTATTTGTTTTTGGAACTTTATACACTGCTGAATTAGATCCTTCAGTCCTTCAGGGTCATTTTTACAGAGTTCTTGAGCTTTTATGTTTGCTTTCAGGGCCCAGTCGTATTCCCCCAGCAAAGAAAGTGCATCACAATAACGGTAATGGCCCTGTTCCAAAAAAATAAGTTTAATATTTTTTTTCTCAAAAATATGTGTAAGTTCAAAAAAGAGAGATAAGGAAAAAATATTCTGCTTTAAAACTGATTATTTTACTTTTTAAAACGTTTAGTTTAGGCTGTACTTAATGAGAGAGAAAAAAATTTAAACCTAAAACGATTTAAAACCCACCAGCAGCCATTATCATCACGCTGACGCTGACGCTGACTCTGACTCACAGCTGACCCATGTGTGTGAGAGCAGAGCTGTGCTCCGCAGGGTTTTCTCGGCTGTGATCTTTACAGAAGCAGGCCACCAGGTCTTTCTTCCCACACACTGCTGATGCCCACTCCAACCCTCCAACTTTTCAGTCAGTGGCCAAGCGACTTAACCATTTGCACTACCCAGGGATTATAAAAATGTTAATATATCTCAGGAATTAAAATTACATCATGAACTAAATATGGCATTGTTTTTGTTGTGGTGGTTGTTGTTGTTAAGTGCCGTCGAGTCGATCCTGACCCATAGCGACCCTGTACAGGGTTTCTGAGAGTCAGTTCTGACTCATAGCGACCCTGTATGGGACTTCCAAGGAGTGGCTGTTGAGTTTGAATGACCAAACTTTGTGGTTCAAACGGACCTTGTGGTCCAGTGCTTATACTTGTTGTTGTTAAGTGCTATTGTGTTGGTTCTGACTCATAGCAACCCCATACAGAGTTTCCAAGGAGCGGTTGGTGGATTTGAACCACCAACCTTTCAGTTCAAACCGACCTTTGCAGTTATGTGATCACTCTGTAGTACCACATCAAGACTCCGCTAAATTTAGGGAGGGGGGGGACGGCTTCATTTACTTTTTTCCTCCTCCCCTGGCTACTCATCTTTCTCATAATTTACTGGATATCATTTTCCCTAAAACCCAAAACCCAGTATAACTTGTGACAGTTAAGAAAGGACTTTATTTAGACCTCTTTGTTGCCTGAAAGAAGTTTAAATTAAAGGTATGAGACTTTCGTCAGCCCAATTATAATGTAAAGTTTCACTTTTTCATTCTCTATCACATATATGTTATTGTTTGCTGTTAAGCGCCATCAAGTCAGTTCCAATTCATAGCGACCCTAGTGTTTATCCTACAGCACCACAATTAGGAACAGCCAAACTTTTAACAACTGATGGCAGGTTAATCTTTTTTCTCAGTAGACTTAGGTACTGCCCACCTCCAGCAAAAAATTCAATTTTTATATATTTTACTAATAAAGCATTGTTGTTGTAGTTGTTAAGTGTCATCGAGTCAGTTCTGATTCATAGCAACCCTGTATACAGTTTCCAAGGAGCAGCTGGTAGGTTTGAACCACCTGCCGTGTGGATAAAGCACAGAATATATATTATTTGGTATCAAATAAATTGCAAGTCTTTCATTATAAGTAATTTTTCCCCAAAAATACCTAAAGGCAATAAAAGCCTCTAAGCCATTTCCTGACTTTTTATTGCATTTAATTATTTTGGGACCTGGATTAGCACTTGACTGCAAACCAAAAGGTTGGCAGTTCAAACCCACCAGTTGCTCCTCAGAAAGCCTACTCAGGGTCGCTATCTGTCAGAATCTATACAATGGCACTAACAAAAACAACATGCCATTTCCTGCAGAGTCCTGGTGTGGCACTGTAGGATCAGCACAGGACTACTAGCCACAGGTTGGTGGTTCAAACCCACGAAGTCATCCTTTGAAACCCTTTACAGGGATGCTGAGTCAGAACTAATTCAATGGCACATAACAGAATGCCATTTCTTAAGAACTGAAAGTGGAAAGGAACCATAAATTACCACTGAGCTCATAGGGGCATCCACCCACTTTCTGAAGAGATTAGGGTGCACCGGAGCTTAATTCCACCTCCCACCCCCAATCCATTCCCTCTCCTCCAACCAGCCTCATGCAGTTTTTGGTTGCTTTATCTTTAAGTGTAGTAGTTCCTGGCTTTGAAAAATGTCAGAAAATTACTGATTAACTCTTCATCCCAATAACTGAGGAGTTCTGGTTTTTCATTTGTTTTTGCTATAATCCTGTATTTCTGGCTAGCTACATTTATACATTTTGGGAAGTCTTCCATGTCAAGCATCAACTTTGTAATCTGTAAAACCAATATAACCAAATACGAGATAATGCAACCAAGTGTCACAAAGTAAACTACCATTTTAAGTAGTGACACTTGGTTGCAGTGACTCCATTAGAGATACACCAAGGAGCCTAAGCTTCCAGCTTTTAGTCAGTTGTTGTTAAATGCCGTCAAGTCGGTTCTGACCCATAGCGACCCTCTAGAGGGTTTCCAAGGAGTGACTGGTGAGCTTGAACCTCTGACCTTGCAGTTCAAACTAACTTTGCAGTCTAGCGCATTAACCCACAGTGCCACACCAGGTAGTAGTGTTCCAATGCCCCAGCCTACACTTGTGGGTTCTGGAGCCAGGCTATTTAGACTCAGGTCCAAGATACCAATTCACATCACATTTTCCTCAAAGGTTAATGGTGTAGCACCCAAGGATTAAGAACATAGATTATTCAGATATGCTACATGACCATTTTGAGCTTTTAAAATCCAATCCCCTAGGCATATAACAATATCACAGTTTAGAAAACTACAGAGAAAAATGAAACATAGCAGCAGAGAAAATTATGATCGTTCACACCTATAAATTTGGGGATTGTTGTTGTTTTAGTGCCATCAAGCCAGTTCTGACTCATAACAACTCTGTACAGGGTTTCTGAGGAGCGGTTGGTTGAATTTGAACTGCCAACCTTGAAGTTCAAAGCGACCTTTGCAACTGAGTGCTTATTCTGTAGTACCACAAAAGGACTCCACTAAATTTATAAAGAAGATTTTATTTACTTCTTTCTCCCCTCCTCTCCTTGCTACTCATCTTCCTCATAATTTACTGGATATCATTTTCCCTAAAACCCAATATAACTTGTGATTGTTAAGAAAGGACTGTATCCATACCTCTCTGTTGCCTGCACTAAGTTTAAATGAAAGGAATGAGATTTTCTTGAACCCAATTACACTGTACAATTTTACTTTTTCTATCCTCTTATCACATATGTTGTTGTTTGTTGTTAACCTTCTGGGTACCACATTTCCATACTTCTCATAGTAGTGGCAGGAGTTCAATTCTAGAGCTTCACCAGGACAGTGGATGATCAAATGGGAGCACAGATTGACTCAGGAGACTGGCCAATTGAAAGATACCTTCTTTCATCATCCATAGTGATCATTCCACAGTTGGAGGAATGTTCAGATTGACTATGTGGACACTGAGAGACAGTCTTTTTCTATTGGAATGAAAAACTATTAAGGATATAAGCTTGAGACACCACACACACACACACACACACACACACACACACACACACACTATGTAGTAATAAGTCTCTTTTAAAATGAAGAAAGTGGTCCTGGAGATCAATAGGACTGCTGGAAGAAGCATGGGGATAGGGTACCCAAGTTCTCAGTTTCAAAGAGTAGAGTTTCCTGCAGTCACCAAGGTTTTGGAGAATATAGTCTTCAATACCTGGGTTCTGAATAGTGGATTGATGACATGCAGGTGCAGCAAGAAATTGGAATATTCACACAACGTGGAGGGATGGAGTTGCCATTTTCATGGGCCAAATGCACAAAGCTGTGCAGGGCTGAAGGCCTGGGGTCATCATTCAGGTAGATCAGGAGAATGGGGCCATCCAAAGCCAAGGGAGCAGAGTTGTTGTCCCAATGGACCTAGAAGAGGGGGCTGATGCCCAAGGGCAAGGGGCCTACAAGCAAAATCTAGAGGATATAGACAATGTCCAGAGTCTGGAAGGTAGAGCCATAGCCTAGATGATCCTTGAGAACAAAGGATTCTTTTCAAACCTCGAGCACTAATGATGTTTGCTCTGCTGGATTATGGACTTGCTTTGTACTCCTGATTTTTCCCTCCTGAAATGGAACTGTCAACCTTTTGCCTGTTCTGCCATAGTACTCTGGAAGCAGATAACTTGTAGAACTGAATTGTGCTTTCCCTCTCCAGAAATACTCACATGTGATGGGATCCTCACCCTTACATGCATGGATGGGAAAAGGGATTTTTTTGTTACCCGAATCTCAGTCTAGGGTATGTCTTAAAGCTAATTACTTCAGTGTGATCAAAAGAGCAGCATAGACACAGAGATAAGCAAACACAAAAGAGGAAAGTATAATGCAACACTGAACTGAGAAAGGTCAGCACTGGGTGAATACTCTATTTGAAGGTGATCAAATAGATTCTACATGAAGATTGACAATGAACTGTGGAATGCCCAGAATAATACTAGAGAAGCTAAAACAAGGATTTCCCCCTAGTGAAGAGAGCCTCACCCTCGAACCAGTGCCCTGAATTCTGACTAGCCATCCACTTGTAATATATGTTTTAGCAGCACTAAAAAAGTAAGACATCCCTCAAAAGCTAACTTTGTAAAAACATTGGTGAAGCTATTAGTTTATATCTTATATAAGAGGGCTTCATAAAATTCATGGGAAAATATAAAAGATAATGGAAGTTTTCCATAAACTTTCTGAAGCTCCCTCATGTAAATATACACCAAAAGACTATGCACATAGAAATATGTTGACTGTACCATAAGATTCTCACTCTTTAGGACACAAAGACTCACCCTATCTTACCCATCTGGAAAGAAGAAAAACTTGGTCTGTACTCACACAGACATCTAAAGAGTATCTTTTCATTCAAGATTATATCCTAGAGGGATGAATCTAGGGCTTCAGGCCCATAATGAATTCTGAAGTCAAACACTTCTAAACAGCACACTTGACATAGTTTTATTCAGCATGCTTCTGAAATTTAAACTCTCTTTTAATAAGCATTCCTTTATGGTATAATTGAAGGAAAATTGGCCCAACTGCATAGTTACCAAACCTTTTTCTATCATTACTAATGGCTGTGTATTTTTTTTTACTTACATTAATATTTTTTATAATCACATAATTCATTATAGACCATCCTCCCACAAAACAGAAATGAGTGATTACTTGACTGAGAAACTAAACTAGACCATACATGGTCTACAAAAATAAAGTTCTCAACATAATTGGGATTACACAATAGATGAAAATAGCACATATTGCTAGAAAGCCATTAACCTGATCTGGGTTTCAGTGTTCTGAATTGTATCATTCATTTACCCTACAGATATTTACAGAGCACCTGTCAAAAGCTAGAGTCTGTGATCAGAAAGTAATCTGTTTCAAGCACAAGAATGACTTGGAATGGAAGCAGCAACAGCCTGATCACCCTCAAATAGAAGTCTCACCCAGTGCTGAATTATAAATCCAGTTTTGCATTTTCCTTGCAATGAAATCTTGCAAAAGTCACTTTACCTCTCTGGGACTCCATTTCTTCATTTATAAAAGGAGTCATTTAAAAAAGGATTCCAAAATCTGGTTATGAATTCTGACTGGGGAATTTTACAATTTCCAGACTCCTAGATACACTCCTACGTCACTGAATCACAATCTCTAGGAGAAGGGAAAAAACTCTTAAAAAAGGTCCACCAGCAGATTTTTTTCCTATTTAAATTATTTCTGTATTTTTGGGTTTCTTTATATAGCATGCTATTTAGGAAAGAAAGGGAAAGTTTTCTAAAAATATTAAACAAAACGGAGTCCTACAATGAGTCAATGGCACTTAACAACAACAATGGATGTAATGACGTGTACAAGCAGAGCAGTAACAGAAACAACGGACCAGATGACACTCACCAACGCTCTCAAATTCTATCATTCTACTCACTATGGTTTTAAAGCTAATTATATAATGTCAGAAGCATCCCTCTCCATCTTATCTAAAGCCCCACGTTAAAAAAAAAAATAGATTTAGACATTTTTAGGATTAAGAAAAAACAGAAACTAACATAACAAATATCCAGTATTCTTAACCTGAAATTAACTGTTAACATTTTATGATATTTGCTTTAGATTCTTTTAATGAAAGAAATATTACAGATATGGTTGAAATCACCTTTGTATTCTCCAAAATTCCTGTCCTCTCTCATCACTCAGAAGCAAGCATGATCCTGAATTTGCTTTTACTGCTTTTTTCATATAACACTTGAAAAATCTATTCGTGTTGATAAACCTGTGGACTTCATCTTAATAACAATCTGTGAGTCATTCATTCACCAATTCAACAGATATTTACAAACAAGTCCCTTGTTTGTGCAAGCAGTTTGTTACGCAGTCAGTATTCAAAAGGGTACCAAGCAGAACAAAAAAAGTCTCAAGGTACTGGAAAACAGACAATACCTAAAATAATGTTAATAACATATAAAGCATATTAAATACTGATAGGTGCTAAGGGGGAGGTGGGGAATGCAAAGAGAGAGAATAAGAAATGTCTGGAAAGGGACAGGTTGTATTGTAATGTGATGGGAGAAAGCATCAACAAGAAGAGGGCTTTATATAAAGAACAAAAGGAATTAAGGGAACTAGTTAATGCTTTGAAGGAAAGGCATTCAAGAGAGAGGGCAGAAATTTGTTTGATATAGTCAAATTTACTGACCCTTTTTCTCTTCATTGCCAATTTCTGCATTGTGTTTTAAATAACGTTCTTCTCAATTGCATTTTTCACATTCAAAATGTGCACATGTTACCATCCCAGTTATTAAGGTACTCTGAAAATAACATTATGGGTTAGTTAGCCTTCCTCACAATCTCTCATTGCCCTGAGCAGGAGTGTCTTTTCTGATGAAGGAACTGAGTGTTTCCTTACTATATTTTGAGTTCTACATAGTTTTTTCCAGTATCTTTACATACAAACATATATACAGTAAATAGTTGTATGGCTTTATTTGCTCATTATAAAATATAAAAGACACCTACCTTTGGCCAAGTGGTCTTCAGAATAGTGGCTCTCTTCCCATCACCAAGTGCATTTCTAAAAAGAAAAATAAGAAAACGTTTTAACATTTTCATTGTTTATTATTTCAAAATGTGTTTTAATTTTTAAAAATCCATAAATTATATGTCTGATAAGACACAGGAAAACACAGGCAAGTAAAATGAATAGTGGTCACCAAAAAACACAATCACAACTACCTGGGAATAACGATGTTTAATCTTGGAGTATTTCTTGTACATATCTTCGCTGATCTAAGCATTCTTTTTTTATATTTTCTTGTACCATTTTTGCATGTTTGTTAGACCACTGTAGTACATAAGCTTATCTGTGCTAGTCTGTGTCCGATTGTGTTTCTCTGCGCATTTCTGCGGATGTCTACATTGGTTTGCGCATGTCTACATCTCTGCAGATGTATCTCTACAGATGTCTACATTTCTCAGGCTGTCAACATTGATCTGCGCATGTCTACATCTCTGCAGCTGTCTACGCTGATTTGCGCATGTCGCCGGTCTCTCACCATGGCCGGGCGCGTATGAAAAAGGCCTATGTCTACATTTGCCTGCGCACGCCTGACTATGACGTGTTTTGTCTGTTCACGCCTCTATGGCGTAAGTCTACGTTTGCACGTGTATGCATCTATGACATAGATCAACGTTCCCTGCGCATGCCTTTTCCTCTTATTTTGTGCATCTGTACACCACTGCAAATGTGTTATCTGCGCATGCCTGCTCATGTCGTACATACCTACGTCAGTTTGCCCTGTGCTTTTGCGTATGTTTGCGCATGTCTACATCTGCCGAATAGCTCTGCGCAGGCGCACCTATCCGCATGGCTATTATCAGCTATAAGTCACCACTGCGCATGTCTGTGTTTCTCTACGCTACCAAGAGCCTGGGTTTATTTTTTAGCAAATAGGTAAGAAAGGAGCTCAAGTTTACTTTCTTTTAACATATCCAATAACTATTCTGTGCTCCCTAGCTTTTATTCAATGATCTCTCCTCTCCTCAGCCACGCTTTACAATGTGAAACTGTTCAAGTTCCAAAGTCATTAAATGATTCCACTCCCCCTTAGTTTCACTCCTTCCATGTTACGTGCCATCAATTCCGACGCATAGCAACCCCATAGTGGGTTTCCAAGGCTTTAAATCTTAGCTGAAGCAGAAAGCATCATCTTTCTACCGTGGAGTGAGCGGCTGGCGGGCTATAACCGAGGACTTTGTGGCCTGCAATCCAGCGCTTATCGTTGGAACCACCGTGCTCCAACTTCGGTATTACTTACCCAATTATTCCCCTCTTTAGGGTACCCAACTAACTTTTCCACTTTTTTTTAACATCCCTGATTATAAAACTCACTGGTTCATCATTTCATATGCACATTCTTTTTCTTTATAACCAACTCCATTTTTCTTTTTTATGGTAAATGCTCAATCCTAAATCCCTTCTATGCTTTTTCCACTCCTGCATCAAGTCTAAGGCTCTACGTATTGCTGAAGAAATAAGCAGCAAAGCATGCTAGTATCACAAAATTACAACATCCAGAGGGCACCCTCAACATTGCCAAGCAATCATTCTAGGTCAAATCATCCTCTTTTTAAAATTCCATTTGAATTCCTGTCTGCTTTCCTGACACTTTACCATACTTGATTTTTTTTTTTTTTTTTTTCTTCCAAGACAGGAGCTCTGGTGGCATAGTGGTTACGAATCGGGCTGCGAACTGCAAGGTCAGCATTTCGAAACTACCAGCTGTTCAGTGGGAGAAAGATGAGGCTTTCTGCTCCCATAAAGATTTACAGCCTCGGAAACCCTGTACAGGGTCGCTATGAGTCGGAACCGACTCCTCGGCACATAACAACAACCATAAACAACACCACATTCCTATTTACAATCCCTTTTCTCTCCTCCTCAGACACAGTCACTTCCCTAGGATTGAACATGCCTATGCATTTAAAATTTTAGATTTCTATGTAATAACTACAAATATGCATCATTTTGCATCATCTTGGATGGATCAGCCAGGTGGCATCACTTATGGCGTCAAGTGTGATAGCAGTAGTGAGGTTGGCCCAGGATTGGACATTGTTTTGTTCTCCTGTGCATGGGGTCGCTATGAGTTGGTTCCGACTCGATGACACCTGACAACAACAACTCATGGAGTCCACGTATGGCGGTGCAGGATAAGCACTGGATTGTTAACTACAAAGTTGCTGGTTCAAACTCACCATCACTTCTTGGAAACCCTTTGTTTAAGGTAGCTATAAATGAGTGGCACTTAACAATATGGCATCATACTGTTCTTGTTCTGCAACTTGCTTTTTCACTCAATATTGTGTTCATTTTAACTACAAAATACCATTGTATGAGATACTGTATTTTATTTATCCATTCCCCTGCTGATGAATGTTTAAGTTGTTATCACTTCTTCACTCTTTGAAACAATGTTATAATGAAGGCTTGCATTTTCCCTTTTGGGTACACATCAGTGTCTGGAAGGTGTGAGCCTAGAAGTAGGCTGTGGAGTAGGTACATCTTTACCTAGATGAATTTTTCTCCAGAGTGGATATACCAAGAAAGAACATTTCCTTTGACCAACAACCTCTCTAACAGTATTATGAGGTTTTCTTATGTTTGTCCATTGGATAGGTGTGAAAGAGAAACTCATCATTTTTAATCTCTCCTATCAGGTTAAGTATTTCTTTGTAAAGATTTATTCAAACCTACATTATTGATAAGTCATAAAAACAATGAAACGTTACTGGGCACACCCTAGACCTTAGATGGTCCTACTCCAAAGGACAGAGAATCAAGAAGAAGGGACCACTTTTTTCCCTTTACCTCACAAGATACCTGTCTACTTTAATTCATTTCCTTTTGCAGTATTTTAGGGGGAATCCTCTTCCTTGTGGGCCTAGGATTCAATATTCATAAAACAGAACAAAAAACCCCTGGTTTTCCTCACAACTTCTAAGAACTCTTTCTTGAAAAGTGTTCTTTGACTTTCTACACAAGTTTCATATGGGCATCTCAATTTTCACAGGAGAGTAACTAAGTTGACAACTTTCTTTTCAGATCATTATAGCATATACAACAGATTCACTTTCAGTCAGTACAGAATGTCTGCAATTATGCAGCTGGCCAAAGGCAACAACCCTAAACAACAGTTACAGTTCATTTCTTGTAAGAACAAGTTGAGGCCAGTGGTACTGATGGAAGACTGTTTCACTGTGTCAAGGCCATCCAATCCTCTATTTAAGCCACCTCTAGAGTTAATACAGCAGTATTCTCCCAGGTAGTTGGATTACTGGTGACTTATTTTCTTCATTTTAAACTCTCGTATTTTCCAAATATTTTACCATGACAAAGTGTTCTGTTTATAAAAGAAAAAACACAAAAGTTATTTTAAAATGCTGCATATATGAATAATACCATCTTTATGCTCCCCATCCTCTCGCACCCCAACATAAATGCTCTCACTGAAAAACAAATGATAGTAACACTCACAACTTTCATGAGAAAGCTGTACCCACCCACTCTCCCAAATGACAAACTTATTTTTGTAAAATTCACACCTGCATTTTCAAAGAATTGTTTGCTACAAACAGGAATGTTGCTGAGATTATTTTCTATTTAATCCTTTGATCAATACTACTTGTAAGCCGTATTAGGAATTTCTTCCAAAACTCAACTCCAGCAAAACACTTGAACAATACTTTTTTCTTTATGGACAATAAGAATTATGTAACTTGTCAAGTTTAGCCTTTTTATTTTGGGCAAAAGCCAACGACATGGGATATATTATTAATAGCTTATAGCTGTTGTTGTTATGTGCCGTGGAGTCGGTCCCGACTCATAGTGATCCTACACAGGGTTTCCGAGGCTGCAAATCTTTACAGGAGCAGAAAGCCTCATCTTTCTCCCGCAGAACAGCTGGTAGTTTCAAACTGCTGACCGTGAGGTTCACAGCCCAATTGGTAACCACTACGCTACCAGAGCACCTTTAGCTTATGCAGAGTCATATACCAAAACAGCTTTGTTCTGATAAACCGTCAACTCTAGCTTAACTTTAAATTTGTTTTCTTTTTAATATTCTATGGTAGATATATTATTGAAATTTTCTTAAACCTTCCTCAAAATCAGGAAAAAGTAATGAAAATTATATAGCAACCTATAATGTATAATATCAATATTTATAATTTATTTCTGAACATTTTTAACTTAGGTACAATTATGGTACAGTATGAACTATATTGCTCAACTAATAAATAAAAGCTCAATTTGAAGTCAAATAAGCAACTAAGAATTAATTATGACTTCACTACCACAGTAGGTCAATTTCCTTTCTTTCAATTATGAAAGACATTTACTTAAATTTAAGGAACCACATAGAACAAAGATGCTTTTTCCAGAACTAGAGAGATTAACATAAAAAAAGAAAGTATTGCAGGTATTAAAAATAATACAGGCTTGGACATCATCAGTAAGACCTGTGTTCAAATTTTGGCAGCACTACTTATTAAGGAGCTCTGGTAGTGTAGTGGCTACGAATCGGACTGCGAACCTCAAGGCCAGCAGTTTCAAACTACCAGCTGTTCCGCGGGAGAAAGATGAGGTTTTCTGCTCCAGTAAAGATTTACAGCCTCGGAGACCCTGTACAGGGTCACAATGAGTCAGAACTGACTCCACGACACATAACAACAACAACAACAACTTACTACCTGTATGAATTTCTCACATGTTAAATGTGTATAGTAACATTACCTGCCTATTAAGAGAGTGCTGAGAATTAAATAACTGATGTAGAGCCCTTAAAATAATGCATTATATATATTGTATACATTTAATCTGAATGCTGCTGCTATCATTGTTGGTATTATATAGAGATATATGAAGACTCTTTTAAGCATGTAACTATTCCTTCTAAAGAATTAACACAAGAATTTTCTTGTGTTCATGAAAAACAGAAATCTTCCCTGAAACTAGATATTAACATAAATAATCAAGTAACTGGATTTGAAACTCACCTCAACTGTCCAGTGCGAAGAAAACAAAGAGCTCGGTTTCCATAAAGAAGATGATTCTTAGGTCTTTAAAAGAAATAATAGGTAGTCAATAAAACACATTACATGTGAAACAAAATTCACACAGAAAACATACAGCATGAACAAAAATATTTCAAGATCTTTACATTTGTGTAACAAAGAAAAAAGGATTTAAGATTTAGATTTAGAATCTTAGGCTAAATCACAGCTTCTTTACTTTCTGGTATATTTATTCCAATCAACCAAAGCTTTCCTATGTTCAAAATGTAGCTTATACTCACAGGGCCAGAACTAATGAGAAATATAAAAAGCATAGCAAACTACAGACAGTAGAGTTTGTACCATCCTTGCAATTCAAACAACAGAAGGCTACAAATAACAGTAATTTAAGGCTTCATTTCAAATTATGTTCTCCTTACTTATATCTATGTGCTGTCCAATTTAATTTCCCTTTCCCCCATCTTTTCCTTAGAGCATAACAACAACTTTTCTGATGTAGCATGTTAACTTAACCTACACATTTTCTCTGGAGAAGGGCAGGCAAAGTAGGAAAGATAGTAGCTGCCTTTAAGAGCAACCTAAAAGCTACCACAAAATTAGCCTTTTTGAAACCCCCTGCCAAGACTAAGACTCAGTGGGAATAAAAGAGCAGACATGTGCTTGGATTGGTGACCACATGGGTCACTGATAAGGGGAAGTGAGGGAAAAACAGCAATGAAGCTGCGAGCTGAGCCCTACAACATTCAATAGACCCCTGTGAACTCAGGTGGAGACCTGCTTGGCCAGCAGTGTGGCACGACCTGGGGACTCATGGGCCCAGAGTCAGTGACATAGCCATAGTGGACTAGAGTGGAGAGTGAAACATCCAGCTGATAAGAAGACAGGGCATATGCATAACAACATCCACACTTGCAGATAATACCCACTTAACCTGGCTTCAAAACTGGATGATCAGAGCTCAACTAGAAGAAAAAAGAAGAGGAAAAAAAGAGTAATCTGATACAATTTGATGAACCTGACCTACGCCTATGGATGCAAGTAGCTCAAAAGAGGGAACAAATCTTTACAGCAAGGATCATTCCCACTCCCTCCATACACAGAGTAGACAGGGATGGGCAACTTGGACACTGGCTACCCAAAGTGGGAGGCAACAAAGGCAAGAAGTGACTGGCTTACAAGCTTTCAAGAGGGGAACCTAGATCCAGAGGGTATGGAGGAAGGTAGAATCTCCACTGAGTAGTATCCAATCTGTCTAGATGGGGCTGATGAAAGGAAATACGGATGGTCTCTTGTGAATGCAATAGTGAATAATTGTTATCAGGACTGATTGGGAGGGTTAGAAATGTAAAGGTAGACGTTTTGTAGCAAGGAGGGGAGTGATTAACTTTTCAGTCTAGGAGTGGAGGTCCCTGGGACCATGAAGGGAGAAGAGCGGAGAGTGGGACCCTACCCAGAGAAGCAGTGATGGCTGAGATGGAGGCAGAGACGATGATGTGGAGAGATGCAGCAGCTGGGGGCTTCAGACCCTGAGAGGGAGAGGGGCTGTGTGCTGACAATCTGGTGTGGGGAGAGGCAGGCTTCTAGGATATACCCCTTGGTTGGCTGATGATGCAAGGAGGGGATTGTAACCATGGCAATGAAACAATATATGCTAGGTTGAGTGTAAAGCTAATGTTCGCCCATGTAAACTATCACGTAATTCACAATAAAACATTTTTTTTTTAATTAGCATTTTTGCCCTGCTAAGACTGAGATGGTAGAAGTCTGAGGCATATCTGGAGGAGTGCTACATAATTCTACCACCAGAGAGAACAGGTAAAGAAAGAGGTTAAGTGTATTCTTTCAGTAATTACAACCATTATCTTAAAAACCAAAAAATCCCTCAATGGGTGGTATCTTTTAAGTATCAGTAACTAACCCTTAATGGTCAGTTAATAATTTGGATGGAATTCGATGAGAACAAAATAGAATAAATGACTCTGCACTGGAAAGGTTGGGGGGGAAAATGGGACAGGGTAAAACTAAATTCACAATTTTGCCCAATTTGCATGAATTATACAACTTGATCAAATATATATACTTAGGTCCACTGTAATTACTTAATGACTAAGACAATAAAATTGGTTTTGCATAGCAAATTGAAGATATTATCAAATTCTTCATCTTTTATTTCTTTTGACAAACATTCCAATTTGATCTGCTACATAAAAAGAATGTTATTCTATTTGGTTCTTACCTATATTCAATAGCTCTGGTGTAATAGATAATAGCAAGATCAAATCTTTCTTTGGAAAATTCTTCATTTCCTTTTATTTTCATTATTTCTCCTTGCTGAAAAACCAAGGTTGAAAAACCAATCAGTAACTCCAAAGACAATCAAGATCCCCCTATATAAACTAGGAAAAATGGACTTGAGTCCTATCTCTGATAATAGAAATAAATTGGGGGATAAAGAGAATGGAACAGATTTCGGTATATATGTTTAAAGAGATTTGTCTCTAAAAGCTCAACACTTACTTAAAATATTAAAAGTAAATAAAATTATCACATTATGAATAATTACTATCAACTTATACCCTTATTCACAATATTTGGGTGGCTTATGTTAGCAAATGTGGTATAGTCAATAAACCTGAGTGCTTACAAAAACAATATATGTATCCAAAATATAGGTAACATTATTGAGATTAATTTCTAAAAAACATTAAGCAGTCAGTTACTAAGAATACATATAAAATCAGAGTTGGTACAGATATAACTAAAACTTTTCATGTCAAAACATTGGTTTTTTTAAAAAAACATCCACATTAAATTCTCTAGATCATATCTTCATAGCATTAGTGAATTCAATAGAATATTAAATATTTCCCTAGCTGCTTTTTTAAAAATATAGTTAAGGGAGAACAAACAAGATGTCAGATCGAGTGGAAGTGCAGTGAGGAGCTCCACAGCAACAATACAGAATACTGGACCAGGCAGGCTCAGGGGGTGCTGCCAGAACTAGGGAAACCACATATAAGGGAATATTTAGAAGGTTGGAAGGTTTACAGCTAGGGGAATTTGTAGCAGGAGCAAGAAACCCATTGCTTTCTAGTCCAAGATGCTCAGCTGCTCCTGGAGCCGTCATCTTGGGCTAGACCAAGCGGGGTTAAGGATCAGAGCAGCCACGGACACCTGACAGAACCACAGAGATAAAGGTGTGGACACTTTCTTTTTGTATCTGCTCGTTGGTCTCTCACTGCGCACATCCATTCTGGTGACTAGAGGGGGTGCCTGAGAGAGTGGACACCCCACCCCCACCCCCAGAGGGTTTTACTATGCATATGCACAGATCTCCTTGAAATTAAAAGGGACAATTTCCCACTTAAAACCAAATGGCAGCACAAAATGGCCACATCCAGCCCTGAACTATTTATTACTAGGAAAAAGGCCTGAATGGGGATTGTGGAGCGGGATAGGCAGACTAAAAAGGAAATAGGCCGAAAATTAAATCCTGAGTTACGTCACAACAACCAACAGTGGCCTCTTGAATAAACAGAAACAGATGACCATATAAGCACATGTCCAGAAACGAGATACAGTGACTGAGGCAAATGAAGTAGACCTACACTCCATATTGGAACATGGGCAGGCTTTGGAAATGCCTGAGAAGCAATTGAGAAAAATGATTATAAAATGTATCAAAATACTATACAATAGAGTTGAGAAAAATAAGGAAGAAGTCAGGAAAGTGCTACAGGAGCAATCAAATAAGATAGATACAGCACTGGAAACAATTCAAAACCTACAGAAAGAGGTCCAAACAATTAATAATAGGATATCAGAATTGGACAATACACTGAAAGGGCAAAGGAGTAGAACTGAAGAGATAGAAGCCAGAAGTAGTGAGCTAGGAGATAAATCTCTCAACACTACTAAGATAAAAGAGCAAGCACAAAAAGGATAAAAAAATCTGAAGAAGGCCTAAGATTCATGTTGGACAACATGAAGAGGAATAACTTAATAATTATTGGCATTCCGGAACAGGAAGAATCATACAAGTCCAAAGAGGAGATAAGTGAAGAGCTTCTGGAAGAAAATTTCCCTAACATCCTGAAAAGTGAAAAGGTAAGCATTCAAGACTCAACGAACCCCAGGATGGATAGACCCTAAAAGACAATCACCAAGACATATAATAATCAAGCTCTCCAAAATCAAAGATAAGGACAAGATCCTAAAAGCAGCTAGAGAAAAAAGAAAGGCAAGCAAATCAGATTAAAGTCGGATCTCTCAACAGAAACCATGCAGGCAAAGAAGGCAACCCAGCAAAGCTGTCAATCAAATATAATGGGGTAATCAAAATATTCCAGGATAAACAAAAGCTAAAAGATTTTGCCAAAGCCAACCCTGCTATGAAAAACATCTTAAAGGAAGTTTTTAGTACTGAGAACCAACAAGAACAGACAACAACCAGAGAACGATGTACATGGTAGCATCACCCTGAACTCAGTTGACAAATATAAGAGTCAAGAACAGAATAAAATTATAAGAACAGAGGATCTGAGAAGTTAGTCTATGATCAAAACAATTACAATGTTAAAGAAGGTAAACACAGAGGAACAGAGATCCAGGTGGTAAGAATGTCAGGTAGATTACAGGATAAAATATAAACTGTCTTAAATGGAAGCGTTAGTGAATATAAGGTAACCACAACCAGGGGGTTGGGGTGAGGGGTTTAGTTCAGATGTTGGGGAGGGCAATACAAGAAGGGGGAGGAGGTTGAAGAACAAGATAGATTAAGGGAACACTGAGACAGGTTTGCATGGCCTAAGTGGGAAGAGGTAAATAGTGATGCATGCTCAACCTTGGAACAACAGGACTCTGTGATACAGGGATCTAGGCATAGTTTGAAGTGGGAAGATAATACTAAAATGCTTGATTGTCTTATAAATATTGGTTACCCTTTCCTACTATTGTAAAATAGACAATTGAGTGGGATAGAAAGGAATACTGGGAAACATGATTACATAAAATTTGTAAGCCAGTCTTTAGCCTAAAACTGATTGGAATACCTAAAAGGGGTTCTAGAACTTGCCCAGTGAAATGGGCCTCTTGCAAAGCCTTTGCAGAGTATAGGACCTTAGATGGAATTCTGAGTCCCAGCCAGAACCTTCTGAGGTGGGACATTCACTCTAGCAAGGACAAGCAGACCAGCCTGGAACAGCCAGAGCAACAAAAGACACATCTTCAAAGAAAGATCATCAGGAAAAACCCAAAACAAAAATGTCAGCATGACTGGCTACCACAAAAATAAGCAAGCTGTTTGCCAGGAAGCCATCAAGGCAAGCAATCAAGTTCCTTCAAGACAAACTCCCCTCTAAGACTGAAACTCAAAGGGAATACACGAAAAGGCATGTAAGCTTGCTGGTGACCACAATGGTCTACTGGTGAGTGGAAAAGGGGAAAAGGCAGCAATGAAGAAATGGGCTGAGTTCAACCACAGTCCATTGACTCCTGTTGACCTGGAGACAAGAGAAGAGGAAGGGTTGGTTGCTCCAAAGTTTGGTGAGACTTGAGGACACTTGAGCCCATGGAGAAGGACATAGCCACAGAGGGCTAGAGCTGAGAGTGAAACATCCAGCTGATATGAAGTGAGGTGAGCTGCACAAGAACACACAAACTTGTAGACAGTACCCATTTGACTTAGCCTCGATGCGTTGATAATCAGAACTTGACTAGAGGAAGATTACAGAAAAAAAAAAATTTTTTTTATAAAGAAAACAAGGATAAATTGCTACAATTTGATGAACTTGACCTATATTCATGGCAGCAGTAGCTCTAAATAACAACAAAGAGGGAAGGAGTCGTCACATCAAGTATCAATGCTATCCCCTCTCTACACAGGGTAGATAGGGACAGCAACTTAGACACTGGCTACCTAAAACGAGGGGACGATAAAGGCATGAAGTGACTGGCTTACAAGGTTTCAAGAGGGAGTTTAGTTTAAGAGTATGGGGGATGAGGGTAGAAAGAGTCCCCACTGAATAGTGTTCATTTTGTCTAGCTGGGACTGGTGAAAAGAGATAGGGATAATATTCGAATGATTCAATAGTGAGTAACTACCATCATGACTAATTGCGACTGTCACAATTGTAAAGGTTGTTGTTGTTGTTGTTGTTATATGCCATCAAGTTGGTTCCGACCCATAGCGACCCTGTATAGGGTTTCCGAGGGTGTAAATCTTTACGGGAGTAGAAAGCCTCATCTTTCTCCCGCGGAGCACCTGGTAGTTTCGAACCGCTGACCTTAAGGTTTGCAGCCCGATTCGTAACCACTACGCTACCAGAAATTTTTAACAAAAACAGGGGACTACAACACCGCTACAAAAAAAGAACAACTAACCCAATTATAAAATGGGCACAGGACATGAACAGACATTTCACCAAGAAAGAGATCCAGGCGGCCAACAAACACATGAAATATTGTTCACGATCACTAGCTATTGTTGTTGTTGTGAAGTGCCACAGAGTTGGTTCCGACCCATAGCGACCCTGTATAGGGTTTCCAAGGAGCAGCTGGTGAGCTTGAACTGCCAACCTTGCAGTTCAAACGGCTTTGCAGTCTGG